TTTATGTAATAAAATATGTATGTATTATATATTAAATGCATTCAAAGTACCACAAAAAATATTTCGGGGTTTACTTATAAATACAAATTGAATTTACGCGGGTGATGGTCAAACGGGTAAAGTTCGGTAAATAAAAAAAATGCCCATCATCGATAGTATCGATACATTTTTAAATCGAAACTTGTGATATTGAATCAATGCTGCCTTGCATTTCACTTTTGTAAACAGAGCAGCTGCCAGGAAAGAAGTGGGTACTAAAAATTATTAAACAAAATATTGTTAATAATCTAAAGCTGACAGTACATAATGTCTGATTATGATCAAGTGCGTATAAAAAAGTTAGTTTTGAAAGGAGAAAAACACAAGTAAGTATATTCCAAAAAAATTAGCGTATTCAAGTTTTAAAATTGAGTTTGTTTATAGGAAAAGTAAGAAGCGGAAGAAGGAAAAGGAACACAAGGATGAAGATGCACCCAAACGTAGCAAAACAGTTGCAGATGAGGATACTATTCAACATGCTGGGTGGTGGACAGCAACAACAACCGCCAACATCGTTGGATCAGTGGCCATTGAATTTGGCGATCGTTGCTATCTGAAAGCCCTAGACAATGGGTAGGTGTTTTTGTTATTAACCAAAAGGTAACCTAATAAATTATCAATATGAATAGTTTATTTACTTTAGGCGCGCCACACAATCCAGGTGAAGGTCCTGATCCAGAAGAAATATTTACCGCATTTCCAATTAACGACCGCAAGGTCTCCTTTAAGTCGGGCTACGGGAAATATCTGAAAATTGAAAAGGACGGAATGGTAACTGGCCGTTCAGAAGCAGTTGGTAGCATGGAGCAGTGGGAGCCTGTCTTCGAGGTAAGCACAGACAAGCTAAAAAATAATATATATTGATTTTTTGTTCTCTTATATTTAGAACAAGCAAATGGCCTTGTTGTCAGAAACGGGACACTTCATGTCCATTGACCCAGAGGACGATGCTTGTGTGGCCTTGCATAAAAAAGTGGGTCCGCAAGAAATTTGCCGAGTGCGCACAAATGCAGCAAGAGATGTTGTTGTGGACGACCAGCCAAAGGAGGAAAAAGGCGATCTAAGCGAAGTTGAGAAGAACTATGTGTAAGTGTTTTGTTTATTGATATCAACATATATATAAATATGCTAACGTATATACTCTCTTCTAGCAAAAAGTTTCAAAAGTTCCAAGACAAGAAGATGCGCATTAGCAAGAACGATGTAAAGGAGCTTGAGGAAGCCAAGGCCCAAGGACTGCTACACGAAACTCTGCTCGACAGGCGCAGCAAAATGAAAGCTGATCGATATTGCAAATAAAACTTAGTTAATGCATATTAAATGTAGAAATGAATAATAAAGTTTTACAAATGTCTGTAAAGAGTCGGTCTTAATCTAAATATGTTTAATTGCCTTAGTATAAAATTTGAAATGGAGAATTTATTATTGAGAGAGTTTCACATTTTAATTGACTTGGAGACAATAGGGAATGAGGTATACTGAATTCGGAATGAAATGAAATTTCGTGTGAAGTAACAATAAAATTTCATTTATTTTGACCTACGACTTCGGTCTCAAGAGATGGACAGAGAGAGAGAGAGCTTAGAACGCTGGAATTTGAAAGAGCGTGAGAAAACTCTGAGCAAACTCCTAACTATGCAGACCGTAAACCGGTTTTTGACTCGATGTGAGCCAATGGGCTGAGTTACAGATTGAGCTGAGTTAGTTTAGTTGGTGTTGGCTGCAGTACCCAGGCAGATCGAAGCGCATCAGAAATCTAGTTGTATTTCTTTTGCATTTCTTTATTATTTACACATTTGCGATAGCGATCTGCGAGAGATGCGAAAATCGCAGGGCTTGTCGTTCAGCTCGGACAGGCGTCTTGGCCTGGACGCCTCGGAAACCTACTCAACATCCAGCTCGTCGCTCAACAGCTCTTTCAGTGACGGCAGCGATTTGGTTAACTGGGAGGAATACGTGGCCGAAGACGGCAGTCTCTTCTATGCTGAATATGTGCCCAATCCCAAGCCAAATCCAACTGAGCGACGCGGTGAGCCGCTGCGTCGCTCGCTGCGCCTGGGTAAGAAAACTACGCGGCGACAGCAGCAGAATAGAGGCCAGCAGGGCAAGCACAATGGCAACCACAGCAACAACAACAACAACAACAACAATCATGGCAGCGGGGGGCAGCAGGCGCAGGTAGAGGCAGAGAACGAGGCGAACAACGGGTTCCGATTCGCAGACATCAAGAATTCACACGCAGACGCCGACAATCTGAAGCAATTGGAGCTGGTTATAACGGCAACGGATCGTTTCCGCTTTGGACGGCGCTCCACAGCCGTGGAGTCTATACTCGGCTTTCGAGTGCTGCCCTTTCCCGACCAGCCCGAGTGCCTAATGGTGGACAGCTTCGTGCACGATATCAGCGCCATGCAGCATAATATAAAACGGGGCGATTGGTTCAAGTCGTTGAATGGCATCGAGATTTATGCCAGCAATGTGGATGAGCTACTGCAGCAGTTCCTGGAGCCCACACAGGTGTGCCTGGGCTTTCAAGGTGCCAGCAGTGCTGCTCCAGCTGCTGCATCGGATGACGCAGCGGCTCAGTGCAATCAGATTCCACAGATGCACAAATTGACTAGCTTTGCCATGTTCGCGGAGCAGTTCGATCAGCTGCTGCCGCCTGCCATGACCGTGTCGGAGTCGCTGACGCCCTTTGGCCTGCTGCTGCTGCCACCGGAGTGCTATCAGCATGATCAGCACAAGGATTCGCTCTACTACTACCCGGAGTCGGCGCTGACGAACTTCCTGTACAAGGCGCGCGGCAGCTTCCTCACGCTCTGCTCCGTGCTCAACGAGCTGCAGACGGAGCCGCTGACATCCCGTCTGCTGGTCGACCAGGTGCCCTACCATGTCAACTATCGCCGCCTGAATGGCTTCCTGGTGCTGTTCGCCTATGCAGCCCAATTGTACAGCGCCACGGAATGCAGCCTGAGATCGGATGAGCTGATCGGGTATATTCGCTTCTCGCTGCCGGGTCTGACTCTCGAGAACTTTTCCACAGCCAATGATAGCTCGAACGGCCTGCGCCAGTTCCTGCGTCATTTTTGTGGCATTCAGCGATCACGCCTGCTGGCCAATCCACGGGGCGAGCTGCACTTCGAGCAGCTGCTGAAGCAGTCGAAGAGCCTGCCGCTGCCCAAGGAGGCCCAACTCCGCATCTTCGATGCCCTTAGCGAAATGGAGGCCATGGACTATCGCAACTGGAACGACGAGCCGTTGACCACACATCGGGAGTTCTTCATCTATGGCTGTGCCCTGTACTACGATAGCTTCCTGCTGGCCAGCCTCCTGCCCGCCGAGGTGCGCTTCAATGTCGAGCTCTTCCTGCGCTGTCGCGGCATCTTCGACTTCATTGGAGCCGCGCCCAGTGTGCGCGTGCGGGAGCTATACGTCTGGGAGGAGATTGTGCTGGCCAATGCAACGGGTCGCTACTTTCTGACCGTCTGCTCGCGCAGTCATCTAATCCTCACGGTCATCCTTAAGATGTATGTGGACACCCCTGAAATGGAGGCGTTCACTGCGGTGCCACCTTCGCTGTTCTACATTGAGGAGATACAGGAGACGTTGGATCATTTGATACAGTGCGGCATCGAGTCATTGGCCAAGTTCTGGTCCATCTCGAACAAGCGACCCGAGGTGCTGGATCAGCAGAAAATCGAGCAATCCGACGTGGAGAAAGACGCCACTAGCAAGCTGGAATCATTCCTCAAGCAGAAGACATCCGCCTCACACTCCAGCTCCGCCGCCAACGATGAGGAGGCGCAATTGTGCTCATCCCTGGGTGGCTCGTCCATACACAGTCTGACGCCCAGCGAGGATGAGATGTCGCGACGTCGCCTCACACCCGCCGAGGATTCGGACAGCGGTTCCGACTGGGAGAATTTTGCGGAGCAGCATCCGCTACACTATGGCCTCAATCTGAATGCGGAGAGCCAAAGCCAAATAACCACATCCCTGTGGAAGGAGATCAGCAATGTGCTGCCAGTGAAAATATCCGCCGGCTGGAAGAACTCCGTGCTGCATTACGTTTATGTGGACCTCACCAATGGCGTTCTCTTATGTCCGTTCACAACGAATCCAGACACTGTTCCATACCTGAGTGAGATACGCCGAGCTTGTCACATGATTCACATGGTGCTGGATCGCTCCAAGCAACATCGACGCCAGCTGCTGGAATCGGCCAACAGATCCGTTGGCAGTGATATAACCATGGTTAAGGAGCATGGCATCACCTTGGAGGTAACCAAGGATCAGTCCAGCATGCGTTTCGTTGTGGTCGGACGCCTATTCCAGTCGCCAGCAAAGGAAGTTTACGTCTGCCACTGTCCGGAGGTGCCACAAAATATGGTCGAAATGGCCTTTCGGCTATCCTTCTTCTCAATGGGATAGCTTAGATATGCATATAATATAAATATATATGATGTATATAAGTGTCTAACTAATAAATTAAATAAAATATTTAAATAATTTAGTTGTTTTTATAAACATGAAGATTATCTACATATAGAGATCTATGATGGACATACTGAATATTTGATGAATAACATCCTAATCCATTCTGGAAATTCTTTCTGTAGCTCCTTCCGTGACACATTTCCCATGTGGATTACGAATTCGTCTGCGTCTTTCATTCATATTTGAATTGAAGCATTGCGACTATATTTAGGTAATCGTACGCACCCGAAATACACATACGACACGCGCCCTAGTCGCATATTTATAAACATAAAGACATAAAATACATGAAAAGAAAACAACAAGAAATATGTGTTTTATGTGCGCGACAATGTCAACGTTTCATTCTGCACAAGTCGGATGCTCAATCCGCTCGTTCGTCAGTTGTCAAGGAGGCCGTCCAAAGAGCGGGCGCAGTTGGGAATTGATATTCTTTGGAGCACTTACATCATTGCCAGCTGGAGATGCCAAGGTGGCTGTTGTGCATTGGCATCTGTGTGCTTTTAGTCTCGTCATATGCTCTGGACGAGATCGTCAATAATAGTGTGAGTGAAGGTGAGCAGCAGACGGAGACGGAGAAGGAGAAGCAGACGGAGACGGACATAAAGTTGCCCAGCGAGGTGCAAAGAGCCGTTTGCACTGTCAATGCTGGCGAGGTCAAGGCATCCGCCGAGGCGGTCACAACCAAGACATTAAAGGGTGTCTGTGGCTCGGGTTGGTTATGCAGAACATTTAAATATTATCTGTTTATCTAATATAAGAAACATTTTCAGATGAAATGAATTTGGCATTTCGCAATTTGGAACAGAAATTGTTTGAGGAATTGCGTGAAGTTAAGGAGCAGCTACTAAAGTTAACTGCAATGTTGGAGCAGCCAAATCGAGGTATCGGCCCCTTCACGCCCACCACGCCCCTCTCACCGTCCACATCTACCACGCCCTCGACGCCAGCTCCATTCATAAAGCCTTCAAGCATGAAAATAATTAAGTTCGAGCAAATAACGCTGAAGCCCAGCCTGGAGAAAAAGCAGCCACAGCTTAAGCAGATGGAAGGTGCGCCGGAACGGGAGGAGGAAATTGATAGATTCAATAATACCATGCTGGCCGATCAGGACTTTCAGTTATTCACCTACTACTGGAAGTTGGAAAATATAACCGAACACATTGCCAAGGCGTCCACTAGAACCGTCAAGAGTCCCATGTTCAGCATCCGAGGCGAGTATAACAAGTAAACTTTATAGTAATTATAGTAGTGTGATAATTCAGTATATACTCAACATAGGCAAGACGCTCCAGCTGCAGTGCACCTTTCAGCACTTGCACCGGGATATGATCAATCTGCAACTGGCCATGGCCTATCCAACCTACGAGCACGGCGTTAAGGGCAAGGAGAACAACATTATGCTGGACATGGGCGGGCAATGGAAGCCGCTGAAGTGGGCTGATCGTGTTGCCTTTAAACACAAAATTTCTCTGTTGGATCAGCAGCGTAGCCATCGACGTCCGCAGGACCTCAGTTCGCTGGAATTGACCAAGCTCGACTCGGGTTTCTCCATACCGAATAGCGCAATTTTGGGCAGCAACTATGTGAAGCACAATTCGCTGCTCATACAAATTATTTTATATTTGTGAAAGGTTTAAATTTGCATGAACATTAAACAAAGCAACCAAATCCCATTAGCCAACTAGAAATTGTGGGGTTTACAAACTTAAAGCTTGCTGCGGGCACCCTTCGCCTTGATGTCGAGGAAGGGCATCGCAATGGGATACAATTCTTTGCACGATTTGAATGCCACAATATCGTTAATTGTGGTATGACGTTGAGTGCAGGCCGCCGCACTTTCCTCCTCCTCGGCGGTCGTTGTTGCGTTCTCATCCTTTTGTGTCGAGACAATGTGGACAGATAAGACTCTACGCTCTTGCCCATCCTTTGCTATAAATTTCTGTAAATGCAAGAATGTCATTTAGATATACATTTCGAATTGTAGATTTTTAGCCACGCACCTTAAAGTAATCCACAAAATCGGCTTTTGTTATCTTGCGCAGAATTGCGACCTCGGCCTCTTCCCTTTCAAAGTGATACGTCTGCATAGCAATTTCTCCATAGAACTGACTAAATTGCTGGAATATTGTCTTCGGCTTCTCCAGCTTCTTGACAATCAATGCCTCCTTATGGCGCGCGAATTCATCTTGAGGCATGTCCTCAATGACTTGCTAAATAAAAAAAGTTATTTCAAATTGTCCCTCATTCTACAATAGGTTTTCCTCTTACTAAATAGTTCTGCAAAAAGTTCTCGATGCGATCTTCCACATAAGCCGGATGCTTCGCTGATTGCACAATGATGCGAATACCATTGGCGCCGTTCACTTTGCGCACTCCACTGAAGACAATATAGCCCAATTGCTCCTTGGTGCGCAGGCAATCGTAGCAGGGCTCGGACAGCACTTGAGATACCAGATTGACCATAATATTGGTCAGGTCCGTTTGTGCGCCACACTGCATATAGAGCTGGGTGCAGGAGCTCTTGTGGTATTCATTCTCCTTTTCAAAGAGATAACTATCACCTGAATAAAGCCAGATCAATTAAGAATTATAAATTTTTAGTATTCTAATTTCAATTTACCTGCCAATAATTTGTATTCGCGTTTTTTGAGCATCTGTCTAGCCAAGATTGGCAATTTCGTTGCATTTGTTCCCTCTAATCGCTTATTGACACGACCCGCAATATCCGTTGCCTGCTGCTTGGTCACATTACCGAAAATAAAGCACTCAGTGTGCAAACGCTGGAAGAACTCTTTGGCAAAGTTAAGCACACGATCATAGGAAACAACTAAAATGAATAGAGGATGCATTTTATATGATACTCAAATCACGGCTTTCATATATAACAACTCACGTTCCATAGCATCTAATAGCTCAACATTCGCCCAGGCATTCTCCGTGAGCAGCAGTGCCAGATAATAAATGGAATGCTGATAGGGTTGTTCGGCCTTGAAATTCTTTAAAGATCTAATGTATTCCTCCTTGAGTATGTCAAATCGTTTTTCGTCTATGCTAAAATTAAACAGGTGATCCAAGAGCTTTTCAAGCAATACCACCTGCTTGTCGTTGAAGCCACGTATAGTAAACTGAAAGAGGAAAACCAGATTAGCATTGAAATCTAATATAGGAAAATTTATATTTACATCAATGCCGCCTGGTTTGGTTGTTACGTTTAGCTTGAGACTGGCTAGCTCTGCGTCATATAGATATTCGTTCAGTTGATCCTTCAGCAGCATTACCATCATGTGATTTAAATTACAATTCAGTGGATCCAAATAGGCAATCGGATTGGACATGTCGAAGGTCATGCAAGCTTTGGGCTTATTAAATTGATTGTCCTGCTTGTGCCACACTCGCAGAATTGGCGTATCCATTATAATTGTGGGATGTATTGGTGCGTCGCTGGGCACTTCGGCAATATCGAAATTGTTCGGTATAAAACTGTTTGGCAGTGACAGCTTTAGATTCTCATTTACATCGCAACACTCCCATCTCTGCAAATGGATATTAAATTAATAAATATTGAATTGGCTGTGAAGCTCTCAATGTACCTCAATTGTGCACTGGGGTATCCGCTCCAAGCCATACTTTGTTTTGTAATAGGGCTCTGTCATATCGGTAGAATCCTCAAAGCTTTGGCTAACCAAGGAAATGCGACTCTTTGATGGCACCAATTCGTTCAAAAGATTGCAAACTAATTCGGGACGCCATTCGTTGCTCATATAAGGTGCAATTAGCACCTCTTCTAGTGGAAATATTTGCATGGATGATACTGCATGGGTGACGAGATTCTCTGGTTGTTCCTTCTCCTTGAAACGGAACCGCATTTCGTTTAATTTCACACACTCATCAAATATCCATTTCTTAGGTCCCTCCTTTCTCAGCATGCACAAATACTGAAATACTATGTTCACAATGTCATCTACATGAGCCAAGCCCTCCTGCGTTAGATCCACCACAATCTCGAAGAATCCAAAGCCATTCTGGGTATTCTGATGACCAGCCATAAGACTGCAAGCAAATGCAAGTGTGAGTAGGTTAATCTCTAGTTATATAGTTAGTTAATATACTTACTCATTGCACCAGCCAAGCCTTCGCAGCTCAGATAATATGCTGCCCTTGCCTTCGTGTCCAATAAGATGCGTTAAATAGTTGTCAGGCTGCATTATATTACAATATTATTTTAGAATAGGCATTAAAATAACTTCAATTACTTACCGCCGATTTGTAGTACTGGGTCAGATCGTCGGTCGTAAAGCTTATTGTTAGCGAGCGTATATCCTTAATGGGCACGATCTTTAACTTCTGGCCGTACTGCTCCTCGCCATACGGATGCCTGGGCCATTCCGGCACCTTTACATTCTTATTTTCTATTTCTGAGAATTTTTCGATCACCATTGTTTCCAATTGATCCAATGTTTCTGTGCAGAGATTTAGTAATATTTAAAATAAAATAGATTGTATTTAAGAATTTGCCGCAACAACCTTTTCCTATGACCGACAGGCACATGATGTTCGCAGAATACCATTGTTTGTGAAACTTTAACAGTTCCTCGCGCACATCTATGCCCTTCGACTTGGGTATGTCAGAGAGCGTGGCCTTGTTACCACTGCCAAATTTGCTATACGCATGATCCGGTTTGGCCAGATGTCGATGTACTTGCTTAATGCGCCACAAATCGCTGGACAAATTCTTCTCATGCTCCGAATTAACCTGCAAATGAGTATAATAATTAGAATTTGCAATTTACAAAACTGATTAAACACAAACCGCATTGATTTCCCGCTCCGTTGCGCTGGGAGTAAATAGTGGGCCAATGAAGAACTGCGCAAAACGATCCAGTGCACCGTCCAGCTTGTCCGGTGCCACATGAAAATGATATTTCGTCATAAGCGGATACGTGGCTGCATTGCTGCTGCCGCCGCTCTGCGAAAGGTACGTGGTATACCCATTCTCATGCGGATACTTCTCCGTGCCCAAGAAGAGCATGTGTTCGCAGAAGTGAGCCAGGCCAGGCAGATCCTCTGGATCGGACATGTGTCTGTAATAAATATGTACGTTTGCAATATATTAAATTAAAATATACAATTCAACTCTTACCCAACCTGCACAGAGAGTGCAGCAGCTGATACATCAGTGCTTGGATCCGATATTAATAATACTTTTAAACCATTTTCCAACTGCAAGCCCCGATAGTCTCGCGTATCCTGTTGTGACTTTTCAATATTATTTACGCTGTGTTCAAGAAACGCAAAGATTAGTTTTAAATTATTATGCTTCAATCGAATTGTATATATTTACCGCAAAATTGGCTCCATCTGCTCCACTTTGATTTTCTGATTTGGCGATACTTCCGTCAATGTCATTCTAGATTTGGATGTTGTTACGATCGTTCTTCGTCCCAATACAAGGTTACTACAGAACTTCCCCTTACTGGCAAACACAAACAACGCAGAAGTTTTATTATGTTTATTAATATAAATATTTAGTTTTGAAGGCGTACTGTCGATGTAGAACAGCTGTTACGGCTTGGGCAAAAATCGATTTGCGACTGGAAAAAGTCAGACACGTTCGCTGGGCAAACATAGAAACGTTGTTGCTTCTTCGGCAGAAATTATGCAAGTGAAATTTTTAACACGTTTAAATATAAGCAATATTTAAACTTAAGACCTTAACTTTAAATAAGGTTTCTTTTTGTCTTTTACCAAAGAATCCAAAATATTTGTAGATTGAATTTAGTTTCGCAACAATACTAACAATTCAAAACATGTGTTTCAGGGTTGCCACACATAAGCACTGCCGAAGCAATTATTCTTAATAGTTTGGTGATTATTTACCCTACACTTTCACCTCGAGAAATTAAAGTATTAAAATTCGGATTGGTAGGATTACCAATTGTCGAGTTTTTCTTAGAAAAATAAAAACATAGAAATATACTAAAAATGATTTTTTCCTAAAATTAACAATAAAATCTACACAACTATGATTTTACAAAAATTATTATTATTATTATTTATTCCAATAATCAGTCCTTAAAAATCAAGGTCTGGCAACTGCTCATACTCTTAATTTCCAAGATATTCAACACTGGCAGTTGCAATTTCGGTTATCGATAAAGGCATATCGACGGCGGTGCACGATTATTGTAACAGTTGTTGTAACTGCATTTTATTATTTAACAATTAATAATAATCACATGAACGTCTGAATGTGATGTTAAATGTAAAGATATAATCAATTCGGATAGCAGCAAGTGCAGCGTAAACAAATGTACGCAGTTTGTGTCTTATGTGCGTATTTGTATTGATGCGAATATAAATTGCAAATTGTTGTAAATTTCGTCTAGACGTGTGTTAGTGTGTGTGCGTGTATGATAAGTGCAGCACGCAAATAAAGAGCTGAGAATAGCACGAAGAACACAAGTCGAAACGATACTAAAAGGTATATATTTTTTGCAATTTTATATACTTCATATATATATTTATGTGAACAGGTATATGTATATGTATTAAAATTATAAAAACAGAAAAGCTATACGAAGTAAAATTATACATATGTGAATGCCAAAAATTGTGGGGGAAAAACAGT